TCGCATCAGGAATCCTGGACACATGTAGCTTGTTTATTTGAAGATACAAACAGGCAGATCTGGCTTTGATGGTGTATGACAAACGGGTCAGACCAAACCCGGCTTTCACGTATGTTTGTGTGTGTCTTTACAAAATTGCAGGTGATTGTATTTTTGGCTCTGTGTGTGAGATAAGGAATATTGCCTGCAAAATATACAAGCAGGCAACTAATGCCGATCTCTCCCCTGGGGAGACAGGACAGAAGGTTTCACCTTATTTAAGAGGATCGAGATGACAAAGGGCTGGAATGATTTTCATCTAGCAGCCCTCTTCTGAGAAAGAGACTTGCTTTCAGCATATGAAAACAAAACCACAGGGCTAACTATCCTGCCAGGAACCCCGTGAGGAAGCTGGGGAAGATGACACACTAAGGTTAGCTTGTATATCAGCTATTAAATTTAGGATTATGGTTTGATAGTTTATATTATATCAATAATGCATTATTAATGCAGGATATAAATATTTTAATACATATAAATATTAGAATTTTATTGCTTTAGGTAGGCTAAATCTCCATAGGTACCATGTCATATAACCTCCTTCAGAAATGTATCAGGCACTGCTTTAAGAAGAAAAAACAAGCTTCCTTTAATCTTGGACTAACTTAATTTGAAGGCTGCCACATAACAAATTTGTTCTAATGAGTTCTAATTTGTTCTAATTCACACTCTATAGTCTGAATGTGTTCCTGACTACTATAATGAAGCATAGTCCTTCAGCCTGGCATTCCTTTTTTGGCTGGTGTTGCCCCCTCCGCATCAACATCACCATTCAGCTCTTGTTTTGCACAAGCCAAGCTGTGTCCATCACTCTGCCTGTAAACCTTTTGGTCCCAGGGCTGGTCCTTGTTTCAGTCTGAGCTTTCCCTCGAGCGTGATTTTGCTAGCCACGAAGTAGGGACAGGTACCTATCTCACAGCATCGTGAAAGGAGGCTGTAGAGAGGTAGGTGTCAGTCTCTTCTCCCAAGTGACAAGAGGAAACAGCAGCAGGTTGCACCAGTGGAGGTTTACATTGGATATTAGGAAAAAATTCTCCACTAAAAGGGTTGTCTGGCATTGGAATGGGCTGCCGAGGGCGGTGGTTGAGTCGTCATCCCTGGAGGTATTTGAGAGATGTGTGGATGAGGCTCTTAGGGACATGGTTTACTGGTGGATTTGGCAGTGTCAGCTTAATGGTTGGACTTTGTGGTTGGTCTTTTCCAACCTAAAAGGTTCTATGATTTTATGAAAGCTTTTGACCTTGTAACGTGCTCTGCAGGCACTAAAGCCACAGCTAATGGCACACTGAATCTCTCTCTAGCCTCAAGCTGATACAACGGGATGGTGTTGGCAGTTGTGCATCCTACTACCATTTACTACCTGCAGCCAAGAAGCTGTGCCTGTTCAGGGAGCCACTCTACATGACATTTTCCTCTTGAAAGCCATATGGCATTAGGATCTAAAAAGCCCTTTCTGTTCACAAACGCCCTGAGAGGACCTGCTGCACTATCTTCAATACAGATGTCTTCACGTAACTTTAAAGTCCTGAGGAAGTTGTGCATCCTACTACCATTTACTACCTGCAGCCAAGAAGCTGTGCCTGTTCAGGGAGCCACTCTACATGACATTTTCCTCTTGAAAGCCATATGGCATTAGGATCTAAAAAGCCCTTTCTGTTCACAAACGCCCTGAGAGGACCTGCTGCACTATCTTCAATACAGATGTCTTCACGTAACTTTAAAGTCCTGAGGAAATTTTTTTCCCTATTCCAGCAGTGATCAGCGTCAGTCAGACGTGAGGAAGAAAGCTGTGTTTTGGTGACTCCAGTTTTGGTTTTCCCTAGCAGCCTGGTTTCATGGCATGCTCCCTGCTTCCCCAGTTTGGAGGCCATTGGTAAATCCTTCCCAAGGCTTATGTGACTCAGAGTATCACTGCTTCCCAGAAGGCCATTTACATGCTGCTTCCTTTCAGCACAAATTGCACTTGATTTTATAAAAAGTTTATCCCTTTTTCTCAATATTTTGAAGTTGCATTACTGACAAGATTTTTCTCCACAAAATATATTGATGTACCCTCAAGTTTAATATTTTCTGACTTCTTTCATCTTCAGACTTGGCTAGATTGCTTACAGGCTGTCCAAATTCAGCAGCATCTAAAGGCAACTGATCCAGAGGGAGAGGTTTGAGCTGACAGCACCCTTTACCAAGCCTCGGGCCAGGCTGGCAGAGCCCAGCCACCCGCAGAGGTGCCTTCCTGTTTGCGTAGCCCTGCCCATTTCCCCTAAGGGGCATTCTGAAGAGACAGCTGAGCAGGAGTGGGCATCACCTCCGCCTGGAGCGCAGCTCTGCTTTACCCACACCACTGTACGGTTACCTACTTTGTTGCTGTATTAGAGCTAGATGTCATGTGCTTCATCTCCTAAATGCCCTCTCAGGGTACTCATAGAAGTCAAACAAAGTGGTAGACAGTCACCTGTCTCAGAATCTCTGCAGAAAAAAGTTGAAACTACAGATTTGTTTCGCAGATGACTGAGGAGTTGTTATTAAATCTTGTTCTAACAGTTAGCTACTGACTTCGAAGGAAATTGGTTTTGTCAGCCAAAGTTGAGGGGTTTCATTTGGTACAACCATAAATTGTGATAATGACAAAGACTGATTAAAAACCAAATTGTCTAGACTCATTCTAGTTTAGGCATGCTTTGTAAAGAATGAAAGAATACAAAAACTTAAATAAAGAATGAATAAAATATTTCAATTGACTTTTTAACAAACAATTATTTAGAAGAAAATGCATTACTTCTTTTAAAAATCCATGTAAAACTATATAGAAATACGATTTTTAACTATCCTGAACTACAAACACAACATCATATTGCAATACCCAGGTGACAGTTGGGGGGGAAAAAAAAGAAATCTGTTTGTCTTCTAGAGCTAAATGCATTTCCAACGGTCTTCACACTTCAGATATTTTACATGAATAGTCAGTGTTTTCAAATAGTCTTTCACAAGGCAATAAGTAAAGAAATGATAGCGTTCTCTCCATCACACCACACAAGAGTAAAACTTGTAAGAAATGGCAGAAGTTAGGCACAATGTTGAGTACTTAGAAACAATCTTATTTAAAAATATACAAACTTGATTAAGAAGCCCATACAGGTTCTTCCTATAAAAGCTGAAGTGTACATAATTACTATTAAAATATACAGGTATATACCTGTATATATACCTGAAATTTTTTAACACTCATGTTGTGAAGTCTGAAAGTTGCAATATACTTGCCACAAAAAGTTTTCCTCCCTCTGATCTGTCACTACCTGGGGTTTTCATATAGATGTGAGCTTGTTCAATAATTGATTTTTCCTAAGTCATGATGTCTTTGAGGCATTTCATAGAGGGGAGAAAAAATAAACAAACAACCCTAGTCTGGCACTCTCCGTTTCCAGAATCCTGCTATTCGGGTAAAGTCTGGAAAGTTGACTCTCATTGGTTTTTATATGGGCTTGTATTTTTCTATTAAACCCTTTGGTATTTGGGCTCAAAACTTTCTTTTTTTTTTTTTTTAACCCATTCTCCTCAGAATCCCTACAACTGAAAATGAGACATTCATGTCTATAAAATCAGCCCAGTATAGGCACCTACATGGTGAAACAGCTATCTTTACGCCTTCTAGAGAATACCGCACTTTATAAAGGTCACTTGTTCTACAAAGTTTAAAAGACTAATGAATAAAATGATAGATGTGAATAAAGTCATTTGGCAGACAGTTTTGTGCTGGGTCTGTTTATTATCTCCCCACCAACACTAATAACTAAAATTCAAAGACATCATGCACTCGCCATGCATTATGCTCTGTGCTCTTTGAGGATTAACAGCCCGACATGTGTCAAAGACTAACATTTCCTTGGAAACTTGGTAAGGATTATGCTCCAAAAATCTCTGTACATTATGACTGGATGTCATGCTGTGCAGTCATGCTGCTTGCTACTTGAGAAATATCACAGTGACGTGAATGGTTACTCAGCCTGCTGCACAAAAAAAGAATGGCTCTAGGAAAGTTGCTGCTTTGCTTATCGTTACAGATTAACAAGATTCTGACTTGAACCTGTAATTGTTTATTTAGGTAATACTCCACTTCTCTCTTCCTGAAGCTTATGGTTACTCAATGACAGAATTTTACTGATGCACAGAAAATTTTAGAGTACAGATATCATCCCACTTTAGTCTCATTTATAAGAGTGTTTGTTTTAGAGGCAGAAAGAGATTTTTCTCTAGCCAGTTGACACAGTTTTTACCAATCGGGAATACCCTGGATTTCTCAGGAAAAAAGTCACTGTGCTGGCATACTTAGACACCACTCTGGAATTCACACAGAAAAGCCCTGCCCACAGTTAGCAATAATACACTGGGCTAGAAAATCTAAAGGCAAATCAAAGCTATATACATAGCATATACACATTATTCTGCCCACATTACTACACTGACAGTAAGCACTTCACAACAAGGATTTATTTTATTCAGAGTGCCTACTGCAGTAGCTTTCAATATCGGCATCACCAGGGAGCATTAGCTGCTAATGAAGCTGTGAAAAAAAATAACTAAGGAAAACCATCATATTGACAGGTGGCTTAAAGTCACCATCATACAGCAGTCTGTACCTTCACCAGAAATTTTCAGGAATCCACAAGTGTTAAAAGGTTGAGGATCTCTCTGAGTTGCCACAATAGCATTCTTGTTCATAAAATGCTATTGGAAAAAATAACTCCACCTTTTCCTAAAGAGAAAAAAGCTTTCTAAAGATTTTTTAAAGTGTTCTGCTCTCGCTTGACACAGATACATTTACCAACACTTTCAACTAACTGAACCACTAATTTTTCTAACTTTTGATTAGGTGTTTTATATAAAAGGGCTGAACTGAAATCTGATACTGCAAGAAAATGCAAGCTCCCTTTGGTCCTTCTACAGAATATACGACACCGGGGCCAGAATTTTCCTAACAGCTACCAAGAAAACTGTGTGCTTAAAGAGAATTTTGCTCTAAGAGGATGTATGGTAAAATTTGAAGTGACTTCAATTAATTTGCAAGAAGACCTCTGTACTGTTTTAACGATCTAACAATTTGCTGGAAGCAGCTACATCTCTCTTACGTCTCATACGGAATCTGGTGTGACTAATCAGGTGAGGACTGCTATCAGAAAAGACTACTGCAGGAGCCTAAAGGTGAACTCCAGTTTCACATTATATTTG